ATACAGTCTATGCCAAAGTGATGCTGCCTGGTGATAAGTAATAAGGGCGAGCCATTTCATATTTTTAACCATGTTTGGTTACCTAAACGGTTCTTTTCAGAGCCACAAACAATAAAAATGTTAACAAAACACTAGCATCGGCCTTAGTAATTGCAACACGTATGCCACTGGGTATGCATTGGTTAATCTGTTTTCATAGTCATTGTAAGCATGCATTGTAAGAATGCAAGAAAATTCACAATCCCCATCCAAGCAGCCCCAAATTGCAAAAATCTTATGCTTTTCATTTAAAAACCACCAGCATTTATTTAAATATAACAATATTTGCATAGCAGTTAGCATAAAATATCATAAAATCAATGGCCTATTCAAAAAATGTCATAAACCATAAAGCGTGCAGGATGTTTTCACACAGCTGCAGGTATAAACTAATCCACAAAGAAAATTTTCAAGCAGAGACCAGAGACTTTCAGTTAATTGTCATTTTCTTGGTCTTGAGATTGCCTTTGAAAAAATACATACTATGAGATACAGGCAGTTACACAATAATTAAAATATCAAAAATCTTGTTCAATGGATACAAGTACCACAATCCAGTCCAGCAACTGCCATGGAAGACCATTTACCGGTAGGCCTCGATTTAAGACCACAATTGAGCCCCACTTTTTTGTTATATTCAGACATTTGTTAAGTGAATTTTGTCTCATTTCATGACTTTTTCCTGCCACGGTTGTTAAATGAATCGCTGCAGCTGTGAAATTAGTGACACGGTTATTAAGTGAACCTGGTTTCCCCGTTGACTTTGCTTGTCAGATCACAAAAGGGGATCCCATGACCCTGGGTCACAGCAACCGTCATAAATATGAGTCAGTTGCCAAGTGTCTGAATTTTGATCACATGACCTTGGGGATGCTGCAATGATCGTAAAATATGTGAAAAACGGTCATAACTTTTTTCAATGCTGTTGTAACTTTGAAAGATCACTTAATGAATTGTTGTAAGTTGAGGATTGTCTGTATACACATTCTGTAGCTTGAAGCAACTCAATTTAAAAAAATCACTTTATTAGTCCGGTTGCTCATTATCTATAGCTTTTTTTCCCATTTCTTTTTAGAACTTAGCACAGACACACATGTTAAGTGAGCTAATGTGCGAAATGAAAGAAAAGGGGACAAAACTAAAAATAGCTCAAAGCCCAGCATCTCAACTGGTAAGCATTCTCTTGAACCAATCTCTGAGCATTACATTGTATGGACACTAAGAATGATAAGGAGCACTCTTAATGTAATCATTTTTCTAGTGCATAATGAGCTGTGTCATTTTGTAGTTCACACTAAAGTTTGAATCAGCAAAATTATGCTCAAGGAGTATTGTAGCTGGGGAAAGATGGTTTTTCCCATTTCCCCCCCTTTGGATTGTGGGTTTGGGGGACCATCTGGGAAGGTGTGGCACCAAAGCATTCAGGAGAAATGTGGATGACAGAAATCATTTCCTTCCTTCCCTTTCTCCAAGCAGGAGTGTAATACATCACCATCTGTTCTCAGATAGAAAGTCTTTTTTTTAAACAGAGGATGTCCAGAACAGACCCTTATTCTGACTTCCCTGGTTGCACTAAATCACTGCTCAAACCCAGTGATTGCTATTTGGATACTTTGCTGAATCAAGCCTAGTTTAGTTTCTCTCTTTTTTTTCCTAATGGAAATGTCATCCTTTCAATTCCTCTAATCCATTAGTTTGTGAGTTTATATACTGTAGCTGGAGTTGATATACCAGATGTTTTTAGAAAATAAAGACTTAAAGAATTAAATTGAAAAACCCTTAATGGCCCTTGCATATGGCTAAATATTTATTTATTTATTTGATATATATACCACCCATGTCTTCTAGAGAAAACTAGATATAATTATCTAATATCAGTCTTGATTTTTTTCCGCAAAATGTTTTTGTTAGATTTGTACTTTGTTTTTGATTTAGATTTGTATTAGATTTGTTTTTGGTCCTGTATATTATGAGTTACTGTATTGTTCGGATATAAGACGTTCTGAAGTGTAAGATGCACCTAGCTTTTGGGGAGGAAAACAAGGGGAACAAAATCTGCTTCTGCCTCCCAGCAATTTGCCTTCTTGCAACAAACAGAAAACAGTACAGACAATATACATTGTTTGTAATGTTACATTTTAGACTATACTTGTACAGATGCTGTTAAAATTGATGTGCTTTCTGGAAGTATAGTTATTCTCTGCTATTTAGAAGAAGATACAATAGCACTGGGCCTCTTCAGTTCAAACATTTGTTTTAAAAAGCTTCTTCATTTTGTTAAGCTGTCTAGCACAATAATAAAGCAGTCTTTAAAAAATAAGTTTAATAATTTGAACATTCTATTGGCATTTATAGTTATTGACTTACCTTCTTGCAGCAAACAGCCTGAATAGCACAAGAAAAAAAAATCTGCCTCTGCCTCCCAGCAATTTTCCTCCTGGAGCAAGCAGCAAGTTTCACTTTCAGTTTAAGCGCTCTTCCGATCATCAGCTGTTTCAGGCTGCAGGGATTGCTATAGTCTATTGCAGCCCTCGTAAGCCCCATTTTCCCCGTTTGCTGCAAGGAGGTAAATTGCTGGGAGTCAGAGGCCAAAGGGTGGGGGACGGTGAGTGGGTGGGGCTATATTCAGTGTATAAGACGCACCCAAATTTTCACCCTCTTTTAGGTGGGGAAAAGGTGCGTCTTATACTCCGAAAAATACAGTACTCTATTATAAATGTTGCTTCGCCCTAACATTCTCGCTATGAAAATCATTGCCCATTGCAACAACAACACAAAATCAGCCTATTTTAAAGTTAAAATTATAGGTTTTAAGTTCTGGAGAAGATTATTCTTCTGTTACAGGTTTGCGAGATTCTTTAGAATAGATCCGGAAAACATGCCGGAAGGGGCAAGCTGGAAGAGAATTAGCAGAACTACTATCTGAATAGAAGTATTTTCATATAATATTGAATTGCATGAAATGTTTAGTTTCAACATACATGCTGGGGTTTACGATTGTGTATTAAAATATGTTATTTATTTTTAAACCAAAGGATCCATTGGTAGTGAATCTTTCGAATCCTGGATCTCTGACTTCAGCCATGCTCCTGTTTCTTCATAGCATGAAAGATGCTGGAAAAGGTCCTCTTTCTCCTAAAATTTTGTTCAACCAGCTCTGCCAGAAGTAAGGATAATCTTCTATCAGTAGTAACTTTCAGGGAGAAAGTATTTACCCATATAAATTGAAAGTGATTTACTTAATATGTCTTAGTAGTTCAAGCAACAGAAATGCATTGTGCTGTTTAAAAATAAAACAGTAAGCATTTCCATTTTTTGTAAGAGTACTCTTTCCTAGATATTAATAACCTACAATAAGTCTAAACAAAAAGAAAGAAATTGATAATTTATTTTTCCATAGCAACTGTTTAGTGTCTGGTACTAATTCATCTATTGTTAATTTTGTTAGTGTTGCAGCTGTCGGACATTTTGTGAAGACAGATTGTGTGCATAACTACAGGCTCCCTTCTGTTTGTTTCCACTATTCTGAATATTGTGGATGCAGATTTTTGACTTATCTAGAGACTTAGCGGCTCATCAAACATTTATATACTTTTAAATAAAGTATTCTTTTACTTGTTGCGGCTGACAAATCGTGAAGTTGGATACTATGGTGGTCATACTCCTGATTGTATAGATTTCCAAATTATGTGAAATGTTCACAGAAATAGAATGGGTTATTTCTCATCATTGTTATAATTTTACTGCTTTAATATTGCTAAGTAAGAGTTTCCTTAGTAAATGAATAATCATTAGGTTATTATTTAATGATTATCCTGGTATTAAAATATGTTAGTTATTTTTAACCCAAAGGATCCTTTGGTAGTGAATCTTTTAAGTCCTGGATCTCTTACTTCTTTCTTCATGAACCTGGAACTGAGAATTGACAATATAGTAGTTCCAAAAAAGAGAATAGATCAAGTAGAACTTTTCTAATATTACTCTTTTTAGATTAGGGGTATCAAACTGGTGGCCCATGACCCAGATGCAGGCTATGCTCACCCCAGCTCTGGGAAGGGAAAAATGTCACGATACGTCAGATGACGGCAATGTGGCGCCATGAGTTTGATACCTGTGTTCTAGATCATTAGAGAGGGAGGATATAAATATTATGATAAGTCTACACTAAATTCTCAATACTGTATCATCAGTCGTGGCACCATCCAGATGTGTGGATTCAATGATTTTCCCAATCATGATCATTGCTATGAATTCTGGGAGTTGAAGTACTCAACATTTAGAAGCAACTAATTAGGAAAGACTCCACCAAATGATTTGAAGGCCATGTTTCTGCCCAAGAGACATTTATCTCTTCTGAGATAAGGCTTAGAGAGATTCAGCCTTCCATCCTTCCGAGGTTGGTAAAATGAGGCTCTGGATTGTTGGAAATAATATGCTGAAATTGTAATCTGCTCAGAGAGTGCTGTAAAGCACTATGGAGCAATATTTAAATCTAAGTGCTATTGCTATCTCAGTTCCATCATTATCAAAAGCATGTTTAGCAACTTTGATAATTACTTCTAGATCTGTAATTCCCTGCTAATCAAAATCCAGTTAGAACCTCCTTTGGTATCTTTCCACTGGCAAACACAAAACGATCTTATTAAGATCAATTGCTAAAATAGAACTACTGAAATAGAACTGCAAAACTCAAATGCAGTTATTTGCTGGATTGTGCAGTTAAATAAATAATGCCTAAAAAGCAGTTTTTCTGAAAGTAACAAAACATATTTTTCAGGCAGGTATGTTCTAAAGCACATAGCCCAGGCCTTTTCAGTATTCCATTGGAACTATGTATATACCATGAAATAGGAGACTATTTGTTAATGATAGATTAATCAATTCAATATCTTAGTAATTAGTAGGATTCTTTTATTTTAAATAATTGAAACTTGGGCCTGAGTTACAGCTGTAGATTTTAGGTTAGAGTAGATGAAGTGCTGCCATAAAATCAAAAGGTTAAACAGGATTTATTTTCAGTAATGCGAGATAAT